AGATAAAAGGTCGCTTTTAAGTAAACCCGAATCTACCTAATTTGCCGTTCTAACTTTAAAATGCACAATAAAACCCTCATTAAGATTTTAGATACGCAGTGTCAAAGTTGCTAAATTCTTTTTAATTATGCACACGAAAAAATGGCGAAAGTTTTCAACACTGGTCGAGATAAACAAAAACAGCCAAAATGAGCTAATAAACCAGCAAGCCATCCATGAGTATATAAGTATATTAGGGTAAGACTATCTTTTGTAGATGAACGACTAATACTACACTTATTGGTTATTAATGGTATGTATTTAATGCTTTATATTTATGAACAACACGGTCCTCTATATACCCCTAAAAAAGTTGTTTGGTGTCAAGGAATCGTTTAATTCTATTTAATTATATCCATACTTCATCCACTACACCAACTCCGTTGGCAAAACTTTATATCAAACAAGAGAAAGTATCGGTCTGATTACATCGATTTGAGGCAAGAGGATGCACGAAGAGAATATCAATGATTTTAATATTAATATCGAATATGTATTCAACATTTTATATTACATATATTGGCAGAAGTTATAGTTCGATTTTGACAAATTGATGTAATATCGTAAAGGCATCATTTGTGCAAAGTTTTATTGTGGTTACTTCATAGATTTCTAAGTTGTTTAATATATTGAAAATGCAAGAATCAAGTGGAATTTAAAAGTTTGTTGTAGCGGAATGAAGCGTGGCTGTCATCCGATTTAACATATTTTCAAAGTATCTTGTGGGAATGTTTAAGTAACCACACACACCAAAATTTGTTGGAAATTGGTCAAGCAAGCCCTGTGATTTTACATTTCATCTAAAATTGGTCGCTTTCATGTCCATTAGCTATTTTTTATAACTCCTCCTTACAAATGACTTTGACAATTGGCGTTCACCAAATGTGCCATGCCAAAAAGCACCACCCCTAACCATTTCGTATATACAGCAGATGGGTAGATATGTAATATTGCAGCTTTATTGAATATTTCTGCAAGCGTTAATGTGAATAATAAAAAAATTCTTTAAAAAAGGAAGGGAAAAAGTTTCAAACTTAAAAAGGGCGCTAAAAAAATAAATTAAGCGGTTTGAGGTTGGACGGTAGCTTTTACAGTTGTTGTTTTTATGTGGAGCGTGCCATATTGTTGTTGGCAATATATTTCTGGGAATTAGGCAGCTTCAAAGAAACATTAAGCCAAACAATTATGATGTTCCAAGTTCGCTAACGAAACCGTAGAAAATAAAGCAAAATAAATGGCAGCGAGGGAAGGAAGGAGAGCGGTGGGTTCGTATATAAAATGTAAAATAGTCAATACGAGTAATCAACAAAAAAAAAAAAAAAAAAAAAAAAAAAAAAAAAAAAAAAAAAAAAAAAAAAAAAAAAAAAAAAAAAAAAAAAATAGCGAGGCAGGCATTGCAAGATGAGGCATACAAAAAATAATAAAAACAATAAAAACGAGCACTTGAGCCATTTAAAATAGGTTAAAATGTAGCATTCTAAAGCGCCTGAATATATGCTAAGTTTCTTGTCCGCTGCAGTGTGAGTTTATGTTTGTGTGCTTTTCTCGCCTAAATATTGGCAGTGTAGCATTGCTTATGTATTTACGTAGCTGCTTTATATACAAGTAGGTTCGCGTTTGTTTCTATGCAACTTTAATGTGTTCATTTGTTGTTTGAAAAAGGTCGACGAGAGTATTACTTTACACATTTAACCTGTTTGTGGCGTTCTTTTCCGCTCAGCCTTAACACAGTTTTGCAAAAGTTGCTACAATAGTCATACTGTTGCACACCTGGGTTTCTTATATATGTCGATGCTCTACAATTAATATCGAAAACCACTTTGAAGGGTGGAGTAAATCAAAATACCAAAGAATGGAAATTAGATGCCTAGAACCAATTCTATGCGGAAAAATTGGCCCGATAAAAATATATTTACTCAAAATCTGTCTGCACACAAAGGGTGACTGAAGTGGCGTAACGATAGGATGTATGTCCATACTAAACTTATATTCATTGGCTAGCTATATTGCAGTAGAACAACAAGAGCATCTGATGATGATATGCGTCCTAGTATTTTTACGAAAAAATATAGATAGTACAGTGCCAGCGAATGGATTGCTTCATTTCTTTACTTTCAACATTTTTAAGGTGTTATAATTTTGTACAACAAATCTTAAGGATATATATAAACAAATACATATATGATTAGACCAGTGTGTATTTAATTTAAAGTTACTCTGCAAGAAGATATTTATATATTCCTACAATTTCAAAGAGGCCTCTCAGCCAACTTCAAAGCTTTTCTTACAAACGTCCACACGTATCTACTTCTTTCAAATATTCGTAGCTTTCAAATTACTTCGCACAGCACCACCTTAAGTGAAGTCCTTGGCGAATTTCATTCAATAAAGATGCGGCAAGAAAGTGTAAATTTCCCAATAAACACCAGAAACCCTTTCATGATGGCCGTAAAATTTTATATTCACTTCATTTACACATTTCTCAGCGTTTGGCATGCAAAGGTTTCACAAAAGCATAATTGACGCATACATACATACATATATGTAAATAAATGAGCATGTTGTCGTGGCTGTGTGAAAGTATTTTTATAGCGCACACATAAATTTTGGAAAAATGTTTTCTTTTTAATTAAACAAAAACTTTGACCTGAAATCCTCGTGCATAGTTAATGGCCGAACAGCTACAGCCAAGAGCGTTGTATATACATATAGTACATATCTACACACAAAAAGTAGTTATATACGCTGCTGAAATATTAGCCAGCATGCCACCCATTGACATCCATGGAGATGAACTCGAGCGTTTATATCAATTATCAAGGCCTAAAACAGTATCGGCAAGGACAGAGGAGAGAAACAAGAGAACTAAAATATGGCAGGAGCAGTGGAATTCCTCATCCAAAGGGTGCTGGACCCATCAACTTATACGGGAAATCCACTCGTGGATTGGACAGACGACATGGAGACTTAGATTGTCATCTGACCCAAATGCTTAGTGGACATGAATGCTTTAGAAGCTACCTTTTCAGATTCCAAAATATATTATTTTATTGCCCTCGATTTTCGAATTCAAGGGAACGGCTAAAAACCACACTTGGTGGTAGTTTTATGGTCGATAACTTAACGACACTCATCTATCAGTCGACTGATAAATGGAAAGCTGACAGCGAAGCGTCAGCGTTCATAATGACAAAACTGAGATCTTTTCAACTGACTAGTCGTCCGTCAGTCCGCGCAATAGAGGAAACTTAAATGTCTTGTCCCTTCCACGAAGTAATACCGAGCTGGTGGTTCCGTGGGAGAGTCCTGAATTGGGAGTAGTTTAGGTGTAGCGAATTAAAGTTCCGCGCTTCGGTTTTCGATGCTCCTCCTACTATACAAAAAAAAAAAAAATGTTGTACTCACGGTGTTAAAAGAAAAACATTTAGATGCGTACGCTCAATTTTAACTTAACTTTAACTTTTTTTGTGTTTTAGCGAACTTAAAATTTAAGTTAAAAATTCTGATAAAATCGATGCATGCCTCAATTTCTACGCAGACTTATGGATTCCAAGAAACCTGTGTTGGGTTAGGTTTTTGATATAGCTGGGTACTCTTAATGTAGAACCGTTTCTGCGGAATATTCCCATTTTTAACCCATGTTCTCCAACTGGCCCTAGTATGGTAAATGTATGTTTGTACATTAGTATGTCCTTAGTCCTATCATATTTTGACCATAAATGTTTCGTCATCTAACATTTAGTTGCTCTAAATTGAGTATTGAACTACTTATTGATCATTCAAGGAATAATAATTGTACCAAGCTTGGTATTACCTCTGCTTAGACTTGTCTAGATATGTTTCTGATTTGTCCGCTTTTTTGTTGTCGAACATTCTCCTGTCAACGGTGACTCAAGATATGGACAAGTGGAGTTTACCTGCCCTTGACCTTTCCACATATGTTTCCTATGTTGGAATTAATCTTTACCGACTACAAGGCTAATAATGCCACCCGACTATCTGTGAATTTGGTGGCTTTCAGTTTCCTCCCATAGTTATTCGGTACAACTTCATAAACTTCTGCCTGGTTCATACTGCCTGGTTCATACGCTTGATAAATGGTAATTGAGTTTAGTAGACGGATAGAAAAATAATTACCAAGACTCATGGAATATATCCCCGTTCTCAATTAGTAGTCCAATTTAGACTCATCGATAAAAAGGGGACAGTATCCCTACTAAACCTCTTTTGTTTAGTAGCTTTTAAATTTGAACTTTAAACTAGCTCTTGGAAGAGTTAACAAGGGATCTACTTCTGAAGACTTCTTCTCTGCGTACATAACTCTACGACCGACTTGTGGGCTGGTAGAAGTGGGAGAACCTTTTTAGCCTCTATTGACTTTAAAAAAGCTTCAAAAAGATTGGACGCGGAGCCTACTTCTGGTGATTTATTCTTTGCCAACAATCTCTAAGAGAGATATGCGGACTGAGTAGAATGTACGGAAAAAAGTGGAGTAAACTTCTTAAGGGTAGGATCAAAGTTCAAGAAGAAGTTACGGAGGGGTCTTCTTTTTGAGCTTCACATCAACTCTAGTTTCTGAATATAATATCCCTATAGTTTCATTGCAGCGGATATGGAATTTTGGTAATTTTTGTCGAATTTTATGGAGTCGATATTATCCTTTGCATTAAATATGCAACTGACTCAAATTGCTTTCAACAAGAGACGGTCTTTGGGATCCTTCCTCAATAATTCGTTCTTCTGACAATGATTAGTGTAATTAGCTAAGTAAACGTGACACTCTCTAAGAAAATGAGGCAAATAACTTGAGAAAACTAAATGGTTTCGATTCTCATCTCTTAGGATACAATGCACTTGTGACGCATTCAATTGATAAATTTCTGCGAATCGTTGCGCATAAGTAAACAAAGTGAGTAATTGTGATACTCACATCTCTAATTCCAATTTATCGCCGTACTTACCTGCTTTGATCACGACATCACGAGAAACAATTGTACCCACAGCATTGCTGGCCACACAATGATACACGGACCAATGGACATCTTGACGGAACTCTTCCGCCTCGAATGGGGGGAAATAGAGTGAACCGTTAGCGAGCATATGACGGACCTGCAAGAGAAAGGTAGATACATTAGCAGAGAATAGAGGGAGAAATGTAAAACTATTGAAAAAGTAATTTTGTGTAATGGATATTGGAACATTTAAACCTAAAATTTGAAAGTGGGCGTGTAATAACGTAAGTTTTTGAAAGCGGTGGAGAGCGCGTTGTTACGGACCTTCAAATCAGTTATTTTTACTTGACTTGTAAAAATTTGCGACAAATAACCGGCTATTGCCACCGAAAGTACGGATATTTGGAAATCCATCCGCCATGGCAGGCTTAGAGATAAGTACATCAAAGGGTTACGATGGGTGCCAGTAAGAGAACAAAAACCACCATAAGATTAAAATTTGCGTACACACACATACCCACTTTTAGGGCGTAGTTTCAAGGACTCCCGCATAGCCGACAAACCCAGGACCCTCCACTGCTGAGGGCATTGCCAGTGCCACATTGTTGTGCGCAATACAGTAGTAGCAATAGTGGAGCATTGACTTCGTTTGGTGCTTGTTGTGGCATTGTACTCAACGTTCCTAGTGTAGTTGTTGTGCGAAATAAAATGCGAAGCTGCTACATTGTCTGACCGCCCGTTAATCTTCCTGACCAACAACAAGCTTTTTAGCAGTATTTTTCTTCTTGCCGAGTGCGCCAGAATGTCTCACTGTTATATTTAACGACACTCGCTCGATTCCAACCGCCGACAGTCTGCATATTCGGCGCCATGTCTAAATAACTCAGGCTAGCCGCCAATGGCTGAAGTTTAGTTGAAGAGGTTATTGATTGAATTTGTTCGAAGCTGACTCTTTCCGCGCGCCTCAACTCCTAGTGCTTTCTTCATGTCAACCGTAAGTTATTGTTGCTTTTATTGTCATTTTGTTGTTACTGCTTTATATTTCAATTTTTATGTTGGTCGCAGTTGTTTCGCTTTTTGTACGGGTATCATAAGTATCAGGCATTGTTCGAGCTGCGGCTCGTGTTTCCGCTTGAGTGTTAGTGCTTGCGCTAGCCAGGAAATGTTTTGTTGGAAGTTGCTGAATTTTGTGATAATTTTTCTTGCATTATAGGGTGCGCAGACTTTGAGTTATAAACAATAATTAAATATTTATAAGCGAATATTATATTATAATTAAATCCTTCCTTCCACTGTCTTCACGCATACATCTTTACTTATTTCAATATTACGTTTCTTACAAATTCAATTGACGAATACCGATTTTGTTTGCAAGATATATTAAGATTGCTTTGAAACTATAACCGTAATCGCTTTTGTTGTAGATTTGCTTTTTTTCTCAAAAATGCTTGAGATCGCTAAAATACTTATGAGGGAGTTAAATCATATATATATATATATATATACATATAAAACTAAGGTTAGATAAGGTTCGGTTGGTAAACCAAAGTTCGCACTTGAACTACTATATGTAGCCGCTTGGGAAGCCATAAAAACATATTTCCATTTCAAGCCTTAAATTTCAATTTTAATTAGCTCATTGAGATATTTGATAGTGTGAGTTTCCTAGTAATTTTGCACTCGTTCACGCAAACCCGATTCAATCAAGAAGGAAGTGTTGAGGTGATTTTACCTCACTGCGTAGAGCTTATCCAGATTGCGTCAGGTAAGACCCAGCAGATTGAACGCCGCAAGGACAATTACCAGCTAGAACACCTCAACGAGGAAAATTGACCTTGCTGAGCAAGGTCCCGCGAAGTTAACAGGTAATCATGACTTTTTGAATCTAGCGCCCTATGTCGACTGTTGCGTTAGAATCTGCTGTTTTTAACGATTGTCCAATGAGAATTTCATGACATTTCATTGATTGAAAGCGAAGTTATTGCGTCGTAAGTGTCAGTGTGTTTGTGTTATTGGTGAGAAAATGAGCTTCACACAAAAAGCCAACATTAAATTTTGTTTTAAAATTGGAAATGCCATCGAAACTGTGCGTGAATTCATCAAAAATAAGCCGAAACCATCATTGAATTTCATGGAAATGGAATGCAGCACATCCAAAACATCGATCATTTTGACCGAAAAATTAGGCTTAAGAAAGGTGTGTGCAGGGTTTGTTCCGCACAAATTGACTGACGACCAAAAAATTGCTCAGAATCGAACATTCGATGGACGCTTGTGACCGATTATTTGACCAAAAATCACATTTTAACCATTAAACAATCCACGTATTAACCTGTTTTGGCAAAGGAAAGGAAATTATGCAGACGTAGAGGCAATACAAAAGACTTGCGTCGGCATGCTGGCGTCCATACAGGCCAACGAGCTAAAACACTCGTTCGACATGCTTTTTTATCGTGCAAAAAGCTGTATTGAATCAGGAGGAGACCATTTTGAATAAAATAAATTGGTTTTGCCGAAAAAAACATTTGTCCTCTTTTTTTTAAGTCGTCTTTACTTTGAAACGCACCTTATAGTGTTATTACAATGTGAATTGACTCGTGAGATCAAGGTTAGTATCGCTATTGGATAAAAGCGGGAACACTTCCGGTTCTCAAATTAGTTACGATATCCTTCCTCTGACCATAAGTACTACATCGTCTGTATAGTCAATAACCCAGCAGTCACGATCTTTAAGTTATTTTAAGGAGACTGTTGACGACCAAGATTCATAGAATATAATTTGAAATAACTAAAGCTATTACTACTTTCAGACTAAGCGCTTTACGAATAGTGTATTTCTGAAATTTGCCTAACCTAATCACAGCAACAAATCGAAGGATCTTCCTGACACCTGTATACTATATAGTAAAACAATAGATCTTTTATTCCACAGCTGAGAACTCTAAAGTCTAGTTGCCTCGTGAAACTCTATTGCGCGTTTGGCTTTTCGTCAATTTTTTCTAAAGAATTACTATTCCGTCTTCAATAATCAATAGTTAAGTCAGGTCGGCTTTATTTACTATACACCGGTGAACAGTCCGTTTCATAAACAATTCTTTAGCTCAAAGTGCTGATAATACTTGAATACAATAAAAAATTAAATTAAGAAGTTAGCCATTGTTAGATTGGACGAAGCTGTAGGGTTGATCCCAAATATTGGATATTACAAATATGTTTGTCCTTTGTGCTACTCATAAACAACAGAAAGCCGATAACTTTATCCTCATATATCGACGAAGCGTTTTAACCTTACCAGAGATATTTCAATCTTAAATTGGCAAAAGCAATAGAGGAGAAAGTAACTACAAGTTTCCACTTCGTCTTGTGGAAGTGGAAGCTCTGGTAAAGAGCCTTTATACCATAATAACAAAAAATTGCATAGAAAATAACTCAAAGCTGGAATAATTATTCGTATTTCAGACAGTCAGCAAATTTGGACGAAATATATAATATAAAGAACAAAAAAAGGTATGAGAGTTAAAAATAAATATATCCTAACTAAGTTTGAGACAGAATAAATCTCACCTTTGATATCGAGGTGATGGGATTATTGTCCTTGTCCAGCCATTCGACATTCGGCGGTGGATTGCCATGCGCTATGCAATCGGCAATGCTGCCGGCGTTATTGGTGAATTCGATGCGAGATGGCGGCTCATGCGAAAAATTAGGTCCTTGGGTGTCAAAGTAGTTGGAAGCATCTGAAAGAACAAACACAAGAAATAAATAAAGCAAAGAAGGAGTAAATAAATATGAAGCACCAGGTTACATATCAATTTGTAAAATTTTTATATGTGCTTTTACAGTTATAAGATTACAAATTACAGATAAAATTCGTAGCATTAAAAGATTTTATTTGTGTGCCTTAGAAATTAACGTTGAATGCGATGATTGCTGATGCTAACAGTAGATAACCGAAGAAGCACTTCAAGCTGGATGAAGCAGACTGCAATCATGCCTGAGCTACCAAGATGTTATCATTCTGTTTTCTTTTTTTCCTTTCATAAATACTTTTTTTCTATTTACACAATTTTTTTACCTCCTTCGCTTCTTTCATCTGTTTGCTTAAAACCCTTTTATATGCTTTGCTTTACTGTCGCTTGGGTTTCAAGTATTAGCAGCAGTGCGCACAGAATGTCTCAGGGAGTTTGTTTTTGCACTCTAGAAAATCTACCTTACCAGCAGAACACTTTCGCCGCGTTCTTTACAATCTTAACATCTATGTAGGCGCTGCCGTTGCCGCTTTTGTTCCAGAAAGACCTTTTAGAAAGCCCGAGCAAACAGTTGCCGGAATTGGCATGGGTTTCTCTTTGCTCTCCAACGTCGTTTCTTTGCTTACTTGTTTGTTGGATTGGTAAAATGCCCGGATAAGTGTTTGTTAGCGGCAATGGTGTGAGATGACAGGGGTTGATGGCAACAAATTAATAAAGAGTGTCTTTTTTAGAGATGTGTTTTTTCAAGAAGAAATAAAATGCATATAACTTAATATTATGCCTGAGAAATAGCTATATTATAAAGATAAGAATGATATTTTAAAAATAAATAAAATGTACCATAAACTGGATGGGCACAGCTCTAATTGTTGCGCGCGGATGGACGCATGCGGATTTTCTTTGATGTTTTACTCCACAGCAACAAAAGCGTCTTCGGTGCTAGAGACCACTAGAATCGATCTCGATTCCGCTGGGCAATTGTGTCGACAATATTGTACATAGTACGATAACCGAAATRTCATTTTGGTAAAAAATGTTCACACTTTCCAAACATTGTTTCGGAATAAGTCCGTTCATTTTTAAAAGGCAAGAGAAAAATGAGCTGTCAAAAAAAATATTAAATAATTTCAAACCGCAGCTCTAAAAAATAACCCGTTATAATGATTCATCGCCCACATTTGTTGGAGACACATGCTATGTAATAAACCGCAATGGGTTCAAGTGCATCTTTTACAAATCTTTCTTGCAACTCCCGTGTTGCAGGTCTATTCACAGACACATTCAAGTAATTACAACCTTACATTTGTAACTCCAACTCCGTTTAAACTAATGGCCTAAAAGTCGCACGAGCAAACAGGAAATTGCAAGGAACAAACTCAATAAAGCCKCCACGTTCTGCAACAGTGCCACGAGCAACACATGCAGGATGTTTAACAGAAACCATGTAAGGTATCGTAAATATGTGTTGCACAGAACTACTGAATAAGGTGGTGCAAAGCTTAGGCGAATACCAACTATAGATACTGTTACTGCATTTTTAATCAGCTAATCTTGACATAAAGGGGACGGCTAAGAACGAATGGATGTTCGTCAATT